TTAAAATTTTAAAAATTATAAAAATTAATAAATTAAAAATAATTAATTAATCATTTTATTATATATAAAAATATTATTAAATATTTATAATTAAATTAAGTGAATAACTTAATTTAAAAAGACTTGATTAAAAACAAAAAAAAATTCTAAAACTTTTAAACTTAAATAAAAAATTAAACGTATACTATACCTGAAAATTCCACTGAAACAGTAGCTGGGAATTAAACAAAAATATAAGTAAATAATTCAAAAATTAGGAATCCTACATTATTGACTTCTATAGTTTATACTGCGTAAGTTAGGGGTTGGAGCCCAAAATTCCACTGAAAAAGTAGCTAGAGGACTAAACAAAAATATCAAGTAATTCAAAAATCAGGAACAGTACGTTATTGACCTCTATAGTCTATGCTGCGTAAGTTAGGAGTTGGAGTCCACCTTTCCATATGTCATGTCATATCAAAATTTCATTGAAAAGTAGCTTGCGACTAAACATAAATATCAAGTAAATAATTTAAAAATTGGGAATCATTCTTAACTTCTATATTGCCTAATCTAGGTGTTAAACTACACCTTTCTACAGGTCATGTCAGATCACAATTCCATTGAAAAGTAGTTTAAAGGAACTGAATAAAAATATCAAGTAAATAATTTAGGAACGTTCTTGATTTTTATACTGCGTAAGCTAGGGGTTAGAGTGCACCTTCCTGTACGTCATGTCAGATCAAAATTTTCATTATTAATTCTTTGAAAATTCAAAGTCAGCAACTTAGACATTTGGACAATTGGACGTCTTCCTCACGTTCTGGAATTGAATTCTGTAACACGGCCTCATCCCATCATGTGGCTTAGCATGCATGTAAGGTGTTTGATTCATTGCCTCAGAGAAAGACTCAGTTTGAATTAAAACATGAAAGCATAGAATCTGGGTTTGTATTATTTGTCGTAAAAGCAAAAGGGTAAGATACCTTCTCCTGTTCAACGTTTAGGATGTTAAGAGCAAACCTAGTAGTAGCATTCGGCATAATGGCACGTATCACACAACTCCCTATCATATTCTCTATTTACGTATATACAGTTCCTGGAAAAGAAAAATCCCTCTTTTTTCTTTGCCTTTTAACAACATTCAACGAGACTAAAGGGTGAAGTTATGTGTTGAAGACAACTCAAATGTGACTCAAAAATCATGAAAATAACTATAAAATTTCATTTCACCAACCCTAATTAGTACAATAGTTTGAGATTAACCGGGGTTATTAATTACAAATTGCTACAAATTAGTGTTTTATATATAGAACTTTTTATTTATCTTTTTGGTTTAGTGGATAAAAATAAATGGTAATTGTAGTTGTTAATCAAAAG